TCCACTGTTCATCTATGTCAGCCTTCAGGTCAATAAGTCGGCGGGCGAGTGGAGACGAGCATGTGCTAGATACAGCACATACGTGGAGGAGTAGTGACAGAGGTTCACCTCGGCGAATTAGTTCCTCCAAGGCTGCCAACGAACCTGCATCGCAGGCAGAATAAGTTGTTCGGGAGCCAAAGGCGTCTAACTCGCTTGTGGGATCCCAGCCAGCTTGGAAAAGAAGACGCATCCCCTGAACATTGTTGCTGTAAGCAGCCAAATGTAAGGCAGGCGAGGCAGGCGATATCACGCCACGCTTCTGACAATTTGCCTTTGCCTCTATCAGCAGACTGGCAGCATTGTTGTGCCCACACAAGAGAGCAAGCCCAAGTGCTGACACTCCTGGTGGCGTTTTCAGCAGAGGTTGCCCTTTCCGCGCGGTCTTCCTGGGATCTGCTCGCTGATCCAACATGGCTTTGATCAACTCTGGCTGACCACCCAAAGCAGCATAGTGCAGGGGCAGGAAACCAGCACTGTCTACTTCATGGAGGTTCCAGAAACCATTTTGGTACAAAAACCGCTCTACGGTTGAGGCAGAATCTTCATTGCAGCTCGGGACAAAACCGGGCACATCATCCATCTCCAACTCAGTAGCCAGACCTCGCAAATAAACGCTCTGCAGGCTTCTCACTACCCGATATGTCACGAAATCACGTCTGCTCAAAGCTTGTCGCATTCTGCGCCTGAGGGCAGCTAAAAGTACTGGTCCAAATCCGAGCTTGTCACTGGCTACCGCAAACTCTCCTTCGCATATTGGGCTGCTGAGAGACTGGGACCCGACCACGAGCTCTAAACGTTGCACGCTTTTGATTACAATCCAAGAGCCCTCAGAAAGCTCACAAATGGTTCTCTCCAAACGACACCAACCACGCTCCGCCCAGCTAGAAAAGCTAAGGACTTTTGCTGTGACTGGGTCTTCCAGGAAGGGGCAAAGCGCACAAAAAAAGGAGCACTTCGCAACATACGCGTGGATGCTCGCGATAGCTTTGGCAAGGTCGCTCTCCGAGCCCTTTGAGTGCTGTGGGCCTGAAAAGTAGTCGTACCACATAAACAGCTTTGCAGATCGCAACTCTTGTGTTCGCAGGGGCTTGGTTTCTGGCAAGACAATCTCAGTAAGATTGTCCAATTCTATACGGTCGAGACGGCCAGACAAGATGTTCTTCATTGCATCTTGAAAAACTCTGAACTGCGCGGAAGTAGGATCTGGATGATCCTTCTCGGCCCACTGGTGAGAGACGAACACTGCCTTGCCCAAGCTCTCCTTGAACTCCACCAGCAGACCCTTTTCCTTCAGCCTTTCATGTGGTTCCACACAGCTCATCTGGAGCGCATCCTCCAACCGCACTGTGAACATCGGAAAAGACGTAGCAGCCTCCGCCTGCGCCTCGTTCTGCAAATACGTTGCATGGCGCGACAAAGGCGTCTCTTTGCGAGAGCAGCGAAACCCCATGGCTCAGGTGTCGGGCCCAATGAGTGTTTACCCAGCCTAGGTCAGCATGCAACAACGTCAGTCAGTGGTCAACAATTTGTCTGACCAGGCGAGGCTCATTGATACCCCATCAATTTCCCCTTCAAATCGTTGGACGCCTATCCCCGAAGTGAAATCTCCCATCAGCAAATCTCCCCGAGGTGCTGCGATCAAATCCTCCGATGCCACATGGGACCAATGCCGCAAGGTTTTCAGCGTTCATATCGAGGAGCCGCCATACTTTCGAGTAAAATCCCCAACAGAACGAAGCAGATACACAGGAGGCTGTATGTCACTCTAGGAGGGACTGAGCATATCCGCTCAACTCAATCAATGAACAAACTGGGAAGGGCTCAATGAAATGTAGGATACGGGCAAGCCAATAAAATGCTGTGTGGGAGATTGAGCTACACAATTTTGATGCCCAAGCTGAGATTGCACGGGTCATTGTCGGTCAGATATGAAGGCTTTGTGTCTGAGCCTTACGGCAATAGCACCAAACTGAACCATGAATGTGGCTTCCTGGATCAAAACCAAAGCTTCGGTGCATCAAAAATCCCTACGATTCGGGACATGAGAACCAGCAAGATGAAGCACTGGACGCTGGAGCTTGTTCAGGATCACTAGATTTCCAAATGAAACGCGCGCCCTTGAAAAGGGCTTGTATGTCTGTATTCCAGTGAACAACGCCAAGCTATGGGTTACTGGCGAACGAGAATGACTTTGACACGACCAACATCACAGTTGACCAGCCTGAATGCGCCTGATTGATCAACAAGTGAAACAGAGTTTGAGCCTCAATGCAGGTAGGGGACCATCAACATGGATTTCGATTCACTCTCGGATTCCCTTCAAAGCCTCCAAAAAAGGGCTCCCTAAAAAAAGACAACCCACATGGAACCTTCCGTAAACAACAGCCAGTCAATAGCCATGTCACGTTTCGGGGTCCACATGGTCCGCCATGTAACCCCTTCAAGCGAGGGGCCACTA